ATCTCCTAACTGATGTAAAATCTCTCTCAAAACTCGCATATTTTTCTGTTTTGCCGATTTGACATTTAACATGTATAGAGAGTTTAATATACGCACAGCGAAAGGTTAACATTGAAAGTTGATACATGTAGTGTACATTCAGTGTATCGCTGTAAGAAAACATTAACTCTTTGTAAAAAAAAATCTACAGTGAAACTGAAACTGTATGATAATTCTGACACAGATTATAGTGCATTGCAGTATTTCAGATTCTAGCACATTGCCTGTAATGGATTCTTATACATTGTCGATTAACAGATTCTAGTACATTTCCGTAAAAAAGATTTGGTGCATTGCCGTGTAGCAGATTCTAGTGCATTGCCGTATAACAGATTCTAAAACATTGTTGTATAACAGATTATAGTGCATTGCCGTGTTCACTATGAATGTCTTCTGCAAGGTCAGACAGACCTATAACAGGTCTAGTATATCGCCAGATGAGAGAATGGTGCACAAATTGGTACATAATACATAAATTGATGTACACAAATTGATGTATTCAATCATACGCTGGTCGGTGAATAAAAATGTTGATAAATGCATTTCTGTAAATAATTTGTTGTTTATTTATAAACATGTTTGGCACCTGCACATAACATTAGTAATAGTCTGTTTTATTGACAAAGAATAAACACAACCTCTGATCTAGATTCCTATGAAAAATTGTATCTTTAAGACATAAATTTATTTCCATATTCCATATCTAGTTATTATTGTGATCAGGTATACTTAGTTTTAAAATTGCCTCTTGTCAAAAAAACCACTTCCAATTTTGGGATGCACCAAATAGTGTATCATGCAGATTTTCAAAAAAAGTGCAAGAATTGCCAGTGTTTACATCAATATCTTTAGTTTCAGGATATTTCTATGGATATTATCTATAGAAAGTGCAGGTGCTACAATTCACACTGATATATTTACAAAATAATGGGTCTTCAAAGATTTAAATGATAGCCTGGTACACCAATTGGTGCATCATAAAAGACACCAACTAGTGCATCATACACTTACTGGTACATCATGCACTAATCTGGCGATATACTAGACCTGTATAAGGTCAAGAATTTTACATAGCTGAGCAGATGATTCTTTCTGAGAAAATCAGAGAAAAAGAATCTGAAGTTTTCATAACTTGTATATCGTGAATATGGATTGAAATTTTTTTGACATGGATGCTGGCAAAATCTAGGCGGCAATATGCCCTTTAGTTTTAGAGTGCTTACAGCTTCAAATACGTAAAAATATTGAGGACGGTGGTTTTCTAGTGCAGTAATTATGTCATTTACTAAAAACGTATTTGAATTTCTCGTTACATTTGTCCATATATCAACCATGTCCGAATTACCATCAAGTTCCGTCAAATTTCCGACACAGTATCGCTGTTAATATATGTAGTGGTCAGACTGCTGTATTAATTTTCAATTTTCACATAGACTAACATTATAAGTACCCCCTAAACCTAACTTAAAATTGAGTATTCATGCTACAGATGCATTTTTTCTAGAAGAATGACATGCCCGAATCATTCAAATGATCTTGTTATATAGAGTTGACCCACCAAATCTAATAACAGGACTCACATAAATTCGTTTGTATAATGCAAATATCGAAATGAGAAATTATCCCAGAGACTTACGAAACAGTGTATTTTCTTAACAAGAGGGCCATGATGGCCCTGAGGTCGCTCACCTGTATATAGGCCCCCGAAGCAGGGTCAGTTTAAACCCCAGGGCTTTTATTTGAACAAACTTGGAATTAAGACACCCATTAGAAGATGTTTCATGATGTTACGTTTTTGCTATACACATATTAGGAAAAACAATGACCCCCCCCCCCCGGCAGAGTTAATTTTAACCCAAGGGCTTTTAAGAAGATGTTTCATGCTAAACATCTAAGCTCTAGCTAATTGGGTTTTTTAAAAGAAGATTTTTTTTAAGTTTTTACTATACACATATAGTTAAAAACAATGACACCCCTGGGGCGGGGTCAGTATTGACCCCAGGGCTTTTATTTGAACAAACTTTATAGACACTTATTAGAAGATGTTTCATGCTTAATATCTAAAGTCTAGCTATTTGGGTTTTTCAAAGAAGATTTTTAAGTTTTTGCTATACACATATAAGGAAATCAATGACCCCCGGGGCGGGGCCAATTTTGACCCCGGGGCTTTAATTTGAACAAACTTTGTAGACACTCACTAGAAGATGTTAAATGCTTAATATCTTAACTCTAGCTATTTGGGACTTTTTCAAAGAAGCTTTTTTAAGTTTTTGCTATACACATATAAGGAAAATCAATGACCCCCGGGGCGGGGCCAATTTTGACCCCAGGGCTTTTATTTGAACAAACTTAGTAGACACCCATTAGAACATGTTTCATGCTAAATATCTTAGCTCTAGCTCTTTGAGTTCTTTAAAAGAAGATTTTTTAAGTTTTTACTATATGCATATAGGGAAAATCA